GCATTTGGAAATTAATGATTTAATTAATATAATGAAACAAGCTTAAAATAGTTAAGGGAAATTTAACATTATTTTTGCTATATGAGTTTCAAGACATGCGCACTAGCTATGTGCTAGAGTTTAGCTCCAACCATAATCAAGCACACCTGATCCAGCTAATCAAGGTCTTCAGGATTACTAGAAACTTCCAAGCAGGTGTGAGTTTGAGCTGGTTGGAGCTAAACTCTGCAGAGCTGCGGCCCTCCAGGAATTGAGTTTGACTCCACTGGTCTATAGTATTGTGACTGATCTCTCTTTTTTCTTTTTTTTTCAATCAGTGCAAAGAAATGCAAGTACTGGCAGTGCATCAGATGGAGAGATTGAAAAGTTCATCAAAAGATGGCTGCTGCTCACTTTGGACAGAGATGGGGGAAGAAAAGAGCGGGCCCGAATGCAAACAAATTCTTTGTTACCATTCATGTTATCAGTCTGAGATTGTCTGAATAATCATACGTGTCATTGTCTGTTCCCTTTTTTGTCTCTCTTTCTGTCAATCTGGGGATGCCATGAAAAGAAATGGTGTAAGGGCCAAACCCTTAATCTTCTTAAAGCTGACATATTTAGTTGACAAGGACACTGTAAAATATGTATTTTATTTTAGTTGGAAGTAGATTCCATCTTAAGGATTTTAAGGTAACAATGTCATTTTGTGGCTATAAAATTATTCAAAGCTCTGGGTTTATATCAAAACTGGAAGGAGTCTTTATTACACATATTTTAGAAGTTGTAATTCTGTATGAGTAAGTATATATATATATATATATATCTCACACCAACCAAAATGGTATTCTTAGCCAGTACTGGCCCGAGTATGGGTACTGAAATGCCAGTGGTGTCGGCCCAGTTTCAGTACCCACACTCGGGCCAGTACTGGCTAAGTGTTTCATTTCTCGTCGGTGTGGTTGTGGCCCAATGCCGGCAGTTTTGGCACTCGGGCCGGTGTATTTGGGCCGATTCTGGGGCATCATTCATTCCATGTCCATGCCGACTCTGGCAACTGCAGCCGGGCCGAGTTATTTCATCCGGCCTGCCGGATCTGGGCCATTATCGGGCCAAACCGTTTTGACTACCTGGTATGGGTCTAAAGTGACCCGACGGAGTTAATTTTTTCTATATCTTTGCAAGAAATTAATTTCATTATTCAGAATTCCTCAATTAACTTGTTTTTGATCATTTACAAATTCTTATTTTTATTTTTTTTATTTCTTTTTGAATAAAAATCCTTTTAGTGTCACTACACTTGTAGTGCACAACATGGGTCTAAAATGACCCGTATTCATTTCCCATGTTATTTCAGTAATTGATGAGTGTTTCTTTGCTGAATCTCTGAAAGAAATGTTTTTCTATCATTTATTATTCCAGATAGTCTTTAAATGTTGTTTTTGACTTCCACAAATCATTTTGTTTATTTTTCCTTATAAACGAACACGTTTTTTTGTATTTCTACATCAGTTTTAAACACATTCATTTCCTATATTATTTCAATCATGCCTGAGTGATTCTTTGCTGAATCTTTGAAAGAAATGCATTTTATCATTTATTTCCAGGTATTCATTAAACATCTTGTTTTTGATTTCCACAAATCATTGTTTATTTTTTTTATTTATATGCATTTAGTATTATTTTATAATTTATTACCACAGAAAATATTTGATATACTGTGGAAGATGACTGAACATAATATTTGAATGTTAGGCTAAGGTTACCGTGACCTTGAAATCTATTACTAGCGAGACAGAGAAACATGTCCAGTAATATTAACTAGCTTGTTGTTGACATATTCTATTTTAGCTAACTAATGTTAGTTAGGTTAACAAGATAAGTTCCATCTTAAGGATTTTAAGGTAACAATGTCATTTTGTGGCTATAAAATTATTCAAAGCTCTGGGTTTATATCAAAACTGGAAGGAGTCTTTATTACACATATTTTAGAAGTTGTAATTCTGTATGAGTAAGTATATATATATATATATCTCACACCAACCAAAATGGTATTCTTAGCCAGTACTGGCTAAGGGTTTCATTTCTCGTCGGTGTGGTTGTGGCCCAGTGCCAGTGGTGTCGGCTCAGATTCAGTACCAAGACTCGGGCCAGTACTGGCTAAGAATACCATTTTGGTTGGTGTGAGATATATATATATATATATCTCACACCAACCAAAATGGTATTCTTAGCCAGTACTGGCTAAGAATACCATTTTGGTTGGTGTGAGATATATATATATATATATCTCACACCAACCAAAATGGTATTCTTAGCCAGTACTGGCCCGAGTATGGGTACTGAAATGCCAGTGGTGTCGGCCCAGTTTCAGTACCCACACTCGGGCCAGTACTGGCTAAGTGTTTCATTTCTCGTCGGTGTGGTTGTGGCCCAATGCCGGCAGTTTTGGCACTCGGGCCGGTGTATTTGGGCCGATTCTGGGGCATCATTCATTCCATGTCCATGCCGACTCTGGCAACTGCAGCCGGGCCGAGTTATTTCATCCGGCCTGCCGGATCTGGGCCATTATCGGGCCAAACCGTTTTGACTACCTGGTATGGGTCTAAAGTGACCCGACGGAGTTAATTTTTTCTATATCTTTGCAAGAAATTAATTTCATTATTCAGAATTCCTCAATTAACTTGTTTTTGATCATTTACAAATTCTTATTTTTATTTTTTTTATTTCTTTTTGAATAAAAATCCTTTTAGTGTCACTACACTTGTAGTGCACAACATGGGTCTAAAATGACCCGTATTCATTTCCCATGTTATTTCAGTAATTGATGAGTGTTTCTTTGCTGAATCTCTGAAAGAAATGTTTTTCTATCATTTATTATTCCAGATAGTCTTTAAATGTTGTTTTTGACTTCCACAAATCATTTTGTTTATTTTTCCTTATAAACGAACACGTTTTTTTGTATTTCTACATCAGTTTTAAACACATTCATTTCCTATATTATTTCAATCATGCCTGAGTGATTCTTTGCTGAATCTTTGAAAGAAATGCATTTTATCATTTATTTCCAGGTATTCATTAAACATCTTGTTTTTGATTTCCACAAATCATTGTTTATTTTTTTTATTTATATGCATTTAGTATTATTTTATAATTTATTACCACAGAAAATATTTGATATACTGTGGAAGATGACTGAACATAATATTTGAATGTTAGGCTAAGGTTACCGTGACCTTGAAATCTATTACTAGCGAGACAGAGAAACATGTCCAGTAATATTAACTAGCTTGTTGTTGACATATTCTATTTTAGCTAACTAATGTTAGTTAGGTTAACAAGATAAGTCAAAATATGTTATTATATACAAGCATGTATCATTGCTGTCAGACGGACACCTCGTATCTCCACATTTCATAATTTTTATGTTTTGTCATAAATCAGTGCTATTGGTCGCCTTTATGTCTGTCAGTGTTCCTGAACTGTAATGGTTTTGGACATACAAGGTTTCTGTCTGACTGCGACAATATATAATCAGTATATACATGATCAGCTGCTTGTTGCACACTCTTTGTCTAGAGGGTTAGTATGGCTGATCCCAGTCATTCTAATGGCTGAAATGTTTGTAGAGATGCTGCATGATGTGGCACTACAGACAGTTCAATTTCAGTGCAATCACTTATCAGTGATATGTGTATGTCGTGTGACAAAGTGGCAAATAAAAATATTTAAAATGTTAAATATGTTGGGCTAAATAACTGCTAAAATTATTTTAACAAAATGTATTTTATTCTTTTGTTTTTTCATGCTTCCATAGATGGGTCTTTTTTTTTTTATCTTTAAAAAGATATTTTGAATATTCGTGGATCATGGAATTTATAGATCAGGGAATATTAAATGCGGAAATAAACTGATTTCAAAAGATAAAACAAAAAAAAATGCCTATAAAAAAATATCTATCTGTTTGTCTGTCATTCTGTAGTTCTATTTATCTGTCTGTCTCTCGATCATTGTGTCTATCTGTATGTCTGTAGTTCTATTTGTCTGTATGTCTCTCGATCATTCTGTCTGTATGTCTGTAGTTCTATTTATCTGTCTGTCTTTCGATCATTCTCTGTCTGTATGTCTGTAGTTCTATTTATCTGTCTGTCTTTCGATCATTATGTCTATCTGTCTATCCTAGTGACATGCTAATCATGCTAGAAACGTACTAACAACATGCTAGTAGCATGCTAATCATGCTATCAACATGCAAGTTACTTGCTAATCATGCTAGTGAGATGCTAATCATGCTAGAAACATTCTAGCGACATGCGAGTAACTTGCTAATCATGCTACAAACATTCTAGCGACATGCGAGTAACTTGCTAATCATGCTAGCAACATGCTAGTAACATGCTAATCATGCTATAAACATGCTAGTAACTTGCTAATCATGTTAACAACATGCTAGTCACTTGCTACTCATGCTAGCAACATGCTAATCATGCTAGAAACATGCTAGTAACTTAGATCTATCATTCTGTCTGTCTGTCTGCTGTCTATCTATCAATGTGTCCATTTGTCTGTCTGTCTATCCGTCTGTCTGTCTGCATTGAAGTGTTAATCAAACACATTAGTCTTTAATCTATGCAAACTGATATGAGATGCCTGAGGAGCTCATAATTAGCTCATTAGAAGTGGTATTTGTAATAATTAACATCTACGTATCGTTAAAACCCGTTAAGTATGCTGATGCCGTGGAGGGACACGGGCATGTGAGCGGAGACTTTTTGGAGGAATACATTACAGTTGCCGTGGGCTCAGGTATTCATCAGCTTCAAGTCAGACGGGTCATTTATTCTGCGGCTATAAAAGGCATCATTATACGGCCCTAAATACACCATTTGAAAAACATTTCTCACATTTTAGCTTTGCTCCATTTAGGATCATCTGAGAATTTGTTCATTGATGCACCGATATCGCTATCCCGGCATCACCTTAATTAAACATCTAGACATATCTGCTAATTAAGACCCTTTTCAAGCCTTTTCAATGTCCTCCTGGAAGAAAAGGCCTGTTTTTCTTGCTCGTCTCCTCACCAGCATTTTTCTGCCTCCTCCAAAGACTTTAATTGAATGCTCATATAGTGCGTTTGCTGTAGGTGAGCCAGGCGGGACAAAAGGCAGGGCAGACGAGGGGATGAAAAGGATGTCGCCAGCATGAGGAGCCTTTCTACAAACGCACTCATTAACAGATGAAAGATGTGCGCTCTACATATTCCTCTAATTCACGCCGCAACAGGTGCAAATCAAAAAATGATTGTGGCTTGGTGATATGACTCTTTGACCCTGTTTGTTGGTACAACACTCTCAAAGGGCTTTTTTTCCCCCCTTAAATGTTTGCACGTGCGTGCAGGAGATTTTTCATTATGAAGTATTCTTAGGAGACTGCTGTGCACTGTTCAAATACATCAGAGTAACTGTTGTCCTGCATGAATTTAGTAATAGCTATGTATGTTCATACATTTTTGAAGGGAAGATGTTTTATAAAATGGAGTCAGGAAGCACATGGCTCCTTGTAAAGCTCAACAATATAGTATTAAAGAAAGTCCAAGAATAAAGCATCTCAGTCTATTCTCCTGGTTTCCATGCAACTTGGAATAAAAGGCTGAGCAAGAAGGTGGACTGATAAAATAATTCAGGGACTCTTTCCACAATAAAACAATGGAAATTGCAAAGACAGAAAATTCGATTTCAGAAGTCTCCCATATGTGTTTGATTATTGGGCAATTCAAGTTTCTATGATTTTCTGATCTTTAAATGTGACTTGGGTCCCTCTTTCAGTGAAAGTCCAGTTTTATTATGTATATTATAAGTTCATAAGACCTCAATGTAATAGCATGCCTCTAGGAATTTTTCATGTTCATAGCACAAATGTGGCATGTTGGCTGATATTTAATACTTCGGTTTAGGGGGTTTTAAAATGTGCCTTCCAAACACCACTAATTAGTTAACATCTCAGACTTCGTATTTTTCCAGTTTGATTTAATCTGGTTTTAAATTCAACCTTAAAATATGCATGTATGCATGCAAGAATGAATGATAAATACCTGCTATAGTTATATTACATTACCTTATTTGTCTTTTTTCCCCTGTGGGTTTTATTCTTAATATAGTAAAGACAGATGAAATGAAATATTAAGGATAAGAGGGACGAATGAGAATGGGAAATTTGTCATTTAAAAACTGCTCAAATTAATTGATTTCTCTTTCATACAATGGATCAAAAAGTAAAGCAAAGTAAGTTTATCTTAAAGGGATAGTTCACCCAAAAATGAAAATTTGATGTTTATCTGCTTACCCCCAGGGCATCCAAGATGTAGGTGACTTTGTTTCTTCAGTAGAACACATATGATGATTTTTAACTTTAACCGTTGCAGTCTATCAGTTGTATAATGCATGACAAATCTATGGGAGTAAAAAAAAACATGCACAGACAAATCCAAATTAAACCCTGCGGCTCGTGGCGACACATTGATGTACTAAGACACGAAACGATCGGTTTGTGCCAGAAACCGAACAGTATTTATAGCATTTTTTACCTCTAATACACCACTATGTCCAACTGTCTTTGAGCGCGCGCACGGCATCCGGCTGATAGACTGCAACGGTTTGAGTTAAAAATCATCATATGTGTTCTACTGAAGAAACAAAGTCACCTACATCTTGGATGCCCTGGGGGTAAGCAGATAAACATCAAATTGTCATTTTTGGATGAACTATCCCTTTAACCTGTGCCCGCCTGGTAACACTTGAAAAGCACTTTATTCTTCCACTACAGTGACTTTATCTTGAGGAGGACTACATGAGTACATACACATCAGACAAACCGATTGTCATTAAAGTATGTGCCACATTCTGGAAGTCATTTATTTTCCCTTCCCATTGTTAAAATGATTCGTCTCTAGTTGAAAGAACGTCACAACACAAGAAAGTTCCTCTTCAGAATGCTGTTGATTTCCCACAGATATTGAGGACTGTTCCCTCAAGGTCAAACAAGAAAAATAGTGCCCCTCGATAGGCACCAAATGCTTTAATAAATAACATCTTTTATATAAAGGCAAGATAGCGTTTTCGTTTTGTTAACATCCACGTACATCTCAACAGATCTATTAGTGGTCAGAGTAAAGTGCTATAAAGTAGTAGGGAATGTGCATCTGAAGTGATTTATTGTTGTTCAGTACATCTGTGTTATATATATATATATATATATATATATATATATATATACACACACATACACACACACACACACACAATACACGATAAGCATAATTAAAATGCTATGCTATTTTCCTTTCTCAGCAGTTTCTTCTAACATAATAAAAAATCATGTCCATTTATTTTATATATATTATTAATCTATATATATATATATATATCTATACATACAGTACATGCTAGATATAATTAAAATAGTTTAATATATCATTAATATGTAATATAATAAATAAATATAATGACTCTTTAAGTCTGGTAAGTCAGCAGTTTCTTAATAATAATATTACATACATAAAATAATATTACAGTCAGCTGGCTACATAATGAATCACAGTAAAGCCCTTAGCTCATTGCATAGTAAAATGATATTTTGTATAATACAATATAATTTGTCATAATCCAATTATTTTAAAGTAGCTTTTTATTTTTAGGTGGAGGTCTAGTATAAGAGTTTTAAAAAAAAAAACTGCATTACTGTCACTTTTAAATGTTGCCTTAATATTTCTGGGAGATATTTGTCTTTGCACATTTCGACCGCCCCATTAAAAAGACATCCGTCACACCTGGCCATATTCGCCCAGACATCACATGTCTTGCCTTTACTGAACCTCATCTGGGCTGCCATAGAGACATGGGACGTCCTCACAAAAGAGACGCTGACACAGGCCAGTGAGGCAAAGGGTCTGTAACAAAGAGACAGGGGGATGGGGGACATCCATTTAGCTTGACATATACAGTCAAACGCAATAGCGAAATATCAAAAAGCTACCCAGAACAACAAAAACCGTCATTTGATTCATGCATGTTCTGCATCAAATTCAGTCAGCCGCAAATTATATGAACACCTAAGAGGATGTTTGCATATTAGGTTTCAATAGTGTTTTTACTTGCATTATTTGGAGATTTTGTTGACATATCTTTTGCTTCTTAATGCCTCGCCATGAGCGTGGAGGAACATATTAATTTGATTTCACCCATTTGACACTTTCATTCCATTTGCATCAAGTGGCCCTCCATGGTTGTCTCACCTCCCGCTCTAATTAAAATTATGTAATGAATAGAGTCCTTTCACTCCAACCAGCTAAAAGATAAACGTGTAAAGACTCCATCTCCAAGACCCTCCGTCGAATGGAGATCATACAGGGCAAAAGCAGGAGAGGAACCAGCTGGATGCTCAGTGTTTGCATAGTTCACGCTGCACGATTAAGAAATTTAACGACTGGATTTGTTATTATTTTTTGCTTTAAAAAGAGCATGGGGTGCACAAAAGAGGTTACGCTGTTTTGGCCAACCTGATAACCATAAAGACGGTGAAACATTGTAAAAGGAAAGTCACAGTGCAAGATAAAAGCAAATGTAATCTTGCAAGAAAAACCCCAACATGATTAGCATTTTAGCATTTTCCCGTTTTTCCCATAGTAGCTAAAAACAAAAAACTATACACTTAAGCTATAAGAAAAACAAGTCTTATTTGAACAAGTACTTTATCTTGTTTTATGACAAATCTAAAGGGATTTTTTTTTTCTTGAAAATGCGCTCTTGGTAGCACATAGTTAGCAACGCCATGGCCATGGGTTTGATTCTACTGAAACTGTTGAATGAAAGTTGCTTTGGGTAAAGGTGTCTGTCGAATGCATTCATTTATGTTGTAAATAGAATTAACAATTAAAAAGGACACAAACAAATCAACTCTCAAGACCATTTGGGGGTAAATTATTCGCTAAGTTTTGCGCTGGCCTTGACACGACAGAGAATTGTGCGCTGACATTACGTACACATCTATCTATCTGTTTGTTTGTCTGTCTGTCTGTCTATCTATCTGTCTGTCTGTGTCTGTCATTCTATCTATCTATCTATCTATCTATCTATCTATCTATCTATCTATCTATCGTCTGTCTGTCTGTCTGTCTGTCTATCTATCTATCTATCTATCTATCTGTCTGTCTGTCTGTCTGTCTGTCTGTCTGTCTGTCGTTCTGTGGTTCTGTCTGTCTGTCGTTCTGTGGTTCTGTCTGTCTGTTGTTCTATCTATCTATCTATCTGTCTGTCTGTCTGTCTGTCTGTCTATCTATCTATCTATCTATCTATCGTCTGTCTGTCTGTCTGTCTGTCTATCTATCTATCTATCTATCTATCGTCTGTCTGTCTGTCTGTCTGTCTATCTATCTATCTATCTATCTATCTATCTATCTATCTATCTATCTATCTATCTATCTATCTATCTATAGGGCCTTTCGCACCGCGGGATCCTTTTCATAGTACCAGAACTAATTGTGGAACTACGCACTTATGGGGCGTTTTCGCACCGCCGGAACTGGGAGCGATTTTAGTACCGGACTGCCTTTATCGAGAACCAAATTAGCTTCTACTCTGGAGCAGGGTCTAACCAGCACAACTGGTACTAATCGTGACGTAAGTAGACATTGATTGGCAAAACGCGTATGAAAACGCCCTCACCTGCCATGATTTAAAACTCCGTGTAAACATACTGTAAGCATGTCAACTTATTTCGCAAGTATGGAGAACAGCGATAGATGGACGGACGCTGAAGTGCAGGCACTTGTAGCAAATGTAGCACTGCCAGTTGTCGTTGGAGATTCTTAGTCCTCCTTTCCGTTCTTTCAATCGCTTTACGTATACGTCGACATTCCATGTCCACTGTGAAACCCGCGAGACACAACAAAAACACAGCTCCGATCACAGCGTCCTCCATCCTCCTGTTGTATAACGTTGTTCTTCTTTGTTTCTGTTGTTGAACGCCGCGCACAAATGACGACGCTGTCGATCGGCTTACGTCATTTCTTAGTACACACCCTCGGTGCGAATGCAACCCTTTAAATGGTACTGGAAAATAGTTCGCACAAAATCGGCCCAGTACTTTAGTACTGTACATTTAGTTCTGGAACTAAAGTGGTGCGAAAGGCCCTTATCTATCTCTCTCTCTCTCTGTCTGTCTGTCTGTCTGTCTGTCTGTCTATCTATCTATCTATCTATCTATCTATCTATCTATCTATCTATCTATCTGTCTGTCTGTCTGTCTGTCTGTCTGTCTGTCTTATCTACAGTGCTGCAGGAGCTTCTCTGTCAGGCAGCCCATGAGAGATTCCTCCACACATTTATCACCAATGAGAGAAATGCCCACAATGCTCTCCAAATACTGTTACAGTGGCCTGCTGCTCACTCCAGGTTAGGACACATGCAGTTGTGGAATTCTTGAGCTTCTTGTTATTCAAAACCTTTGAACTGATAGACAGCCTTTGGCTGTGAAGAACTGTGGGGAAAACTGTGAAGGCCCAAAGGAAATGCGGGTAATTATTATAATCAGCACTTGGATGTCAGAACAATGAAGAAGATGTCAGTTTTTATACACACAGGTCTTTCTCAGGTGTGAAAATATCAACCCAAATAAAGATAATGATGTAAGTTCGTTTTTAAAGTCTTGATTGTCAACAATCAGTCTCAGACTCTCAGTCTTGTTTGCCAAGAAAAGTAAATTATTTTCCTTTATTTCCTTTATTATTTTTCTCACCTGATTTGATAAAGATTAAATATAATAAAATGTTACGGGTTTTAAACTTTTTTCCCAATAGAATGAAAATAAGTCTTATTATGTTGGTTAATTATAAAGTTAATTTAAAGTAAATTTACTTTGGGTCTTTTACAGCAAAATAGCAAAAACTGCTGTTTAAAGATGCATATTTTTGCCATTTCCTTCTAGGTCCACTAAAAGATAATAGTTTTTTGTTTTATATTTATTTATTAAGGTGCTTTTATAAAGGTCCTTAAAAATGAGGAAATGCACAATCAAAAAATATCAACATTAAAACACAAATGTTTTAACATCTAAAACAGAGATTATAATGCATGAAACAGGTTCATGATGCAGAGCGAGAGACATTAGTCTTCAATCTCCTGCACTACACTGCCTCTATGTGGACATGAAGCACTTAACACCTAATACTACTCGTACAGAGGATATGATGATGCATGTGGCATTAAGAGAGAGTCATTAAATTGAAAACAACAATTAGACAAAAAGATGGAGAACTAAAATGCGTTAGCATTTCTTCTACCCGTATGCCAAAATGAATGCAATTGAGAGCAAAATGTCAGGTCAGGTTTTCATGGATTTTTTTTTTTACAAACATGCAGCTTTTCACTTCACAAGATGTTCATTAATGGACTGGAGGGGAGTAGATTACTTGTGGATTATTGTTTTGTTGTTATCAGCTGTTTGGACTCTCATTCTGACGGCACCCATTCACTGCAGAGGATCCATTGGTGAGTAAGTGATGCTAAATTTCTCCAAATCTGTTTGGATGAAGAAACAAAATCTTGGATGGCGTGAGGGTAAGTAAATCTTCAGCAAATTTTCATTTTTGGGTACAGTACTACTTCAACCCATATAGCCTCACAATCTAAACCGCTACTGGCCAAGACTTAAGTTGTGTCAGTACAGAAACGTATTTAAAAGGACCGTTCACCCAAAAATTGAAATTGTGTTATTATTTACTTACCCTCCACTTGCTCCATACCTGTATGAGTTTCTTTCTTCTGGTGAACACAAAAGAAGATATTTTAAAGAATATTGGCAACATAGTATTTTTTCTTCTTCTCCATATTAAGGAAGTCAATGGCTACCATCAACTTTGGTTACCAACATTCTTCACGACTTCTTTTGTGTTCAGCAGGACAAGGAAATTCATACAGGTTTAGAACATGACATAATTTTCATTTTTTGATGAACTTTCATTTTTTATTGAAATTTTCAGTATACATTTTAAATTGAAAAAGTAATTAAAATGCAATACAAAAATACTCAGATTGCTTTTTTTTTTGATAGAGTTTCCCATCTTGAGGCCTCTGTTACTCATTTCATTGGCTATTGACAGTTCTCTGACAGCCTGTTAACAAACCCCTATGGGAAATCTAATCATAAGCCTCCTTTGCAAACTGTACACAGTGATAAAGTTCCTTCATGGATGTGTTGCTATAGATGCTGTAGGGCTTTTTCCTCTCACCCCTGAAATCTCAAGTGTTGAGGAAACACTTCGGCTGCAGAGTTGATCCTGGCGATAACATGTTAACTATTGCTGTCTGAATGCAGTCTGCATAGACAACATTTCATTGTTGTGAGCAATGAAAGCACAGCGAGGCTGCATTTATTTAATCAAAAATACAGTAAAAACAGCAGTATTGTGAAATGTTGTTATCATTTTAGATAAATGTTTTTTCTTTGAATGTGTATTAAAAATGTAATTTATTCCTGTGATGCAAAGCTGAATTTTCAGCATCATTACTCCAGTCTTCAGTGTCACATGATTCTTCAGAAATTATTCTAATATGCTGCTTTGTTGCTCAAGAAACATTTCTTTTTAGTATCAGTGTTGAAAACAGTTGTGCTGCTTAAAATTTTTGTGGAAACTGTGATTTTCTTTCTTTTTTAGCATTCTTTGATGAATAGAAATTTCAAAAGAACAGCATTTATTTGTAATAAATTTGAAATCTTTTGTAACATTATAAATTACTTTACTGTCACCTTTGTTAAGTTTAATACATCCATGCTGAATAAAAGTAGTATTTTTTTTTTCAAACTAACCCAAAAAATCTTACAGACCCTAAAAACTTTTGAATGGTAGTGTTTCTGCAGTATATAGTATGCTAATGTTCAGTATGCATAGATATACATAACATATAATATGCAAGTGACAAATATGCAGGTTTGCTGAAATGTGAAATATACATGATAACAGATCACACTGCACTGGTTCTGTATCTCACAATGCATTGTGCTCGTCCTGACCTTGCATTTCCACTGCGACAAATGAAACACAATAGACTTTAGTCGGGGAAGATGTCATTTAATTCAACACAAATGAAAGTGTGAGGGATAAAAGTGGTGAGGCTGTATTGTGCATCTTGGTGCTGATCACTGTTATTTTAAACTTTCTATTCATCAAAAAATTATCACAGTTTCCACAAAACTATTCAGCAGCACAACTGTTTTTAACATTGATAATAATAATATTTCTTGTGCAGCAAATCAGCATATCAGAATGATTTCTGAAGGATCATGTGACACTGAAGACTGGAGTAATGATGCTGAAAATTCAGCTTTGCATCACAGGAATAAATTACATTTAAAACATACTAAACTAAGAAAACAGTTACACAATAGTACTGTTTTTACTGTATTTTTAAGTAAATAAATGCCGTTTTGGTGAGCATAAGAAACATCTCTAAAAAAACATGTGCAATGAATTTTATTTATATGCTGAGAAAGAAACCTACAGATGTGCATTAAGATTTGAAAGCTGTTGTAAGAAGATTGTCAATGATTATAAAAGCGTGAGAAGTAAATATGATTGTGACAGTAGTCAGTTAAGCACACATTACTGCACTAAATCCATATCTCTCTCTCTCTCTGTCTCTCTTTCTCACACACACACACACACAGAGAGAGAGAGAGAGAGTTGTAATTACACAGGATCTGTTGATCTTTGAGCTGCATATGGAGTCTCCCTGCCTAATGCAAAGTTCTGGTTAAACATTGTCCCAAAGTTTGCGTTCTGCCTTCTGTTGTTTTTACACTAAAGCCCAGGCAATTGTTGGAGGCATTATTGACTTTGTAATTAAACTATTTTAACGTCAGGATTTTGTAATCATTACATTTCAAGCCATCTGTTCCTGTCCGAGGCCCGAAATGGATTTTCCCTTTGAGGAGATAAAGGCCAGCACAATGTAGCCGGTTTTATCATTTATCGTCACATCTTTACACACAGACCAATGCTGAAATCCTCATCCGAGCCGTGCGAGTTTGCACCAGCACCGTACATACAAATATATTATGATGCAATTATATCATTTCAGACGATCTGATTATGGATTTATTAGCGTCCATCTGCTCAAAGACTAACAAAGCTGAATTTAAAGAACCCAGGGATGAATAAAGCACACCAAGATTCACAATGCATGAACAGCTTGTGTCCAGCATGCCTGGTTTTAGTCAACACATTTATCAACTTGATTGTTAGCAATGCAAGAAATCAATTCCTCTCTTAACATGAAGATAACACCCAAATTTGATCCACAATTGTGTTTCCTGTTTGAAATCTCCTTGGTGTAAACCAGAGTTATTTGTAATTACCTAATTACTATTTAAAAATAATTAATTGAAATAAAAAATGGAAATGAGAAATGTTGCCTTAGCAAACTAACTAAACTAAGTTTAAGTTGAAGAATTAATAAAATAACTTACTAAAAGTAAATTTTATGGAAATATGATTTGTCTATTTGCACTTCAAGAAACCCTGGAAATAGTAATTATACTGCTATTCAAAAGTTTGGGATTGGTAAGATTTTTGAAAGAAGACACTTATGCCCAACAAGGTTGCATTTATTTGATACAGTGAAAACTGTAAAATTTTGAAATATTATTACAATTTAAACTGTTTTATATATTTTAAAATGTCATTTAAATTAAATCTTACAATTAAATAATACAATCTTAAATACAATTAAATCTCCTTGGTGTGAACCATGGTTATTATATTATTTGTGTAATTGAAAATAAAATAAAATAAAAATGTTCCAAACAAAACATAAATGAAATGAAAATGAGAAATGTTGCTTTGGCAACTAACTGAACTAAGGTTAAGCCAAAGCACTGAAATTACTAACCAAAATGTCTAACTAAACTAAACTAAAGAAAAACTTTAATGGAAATAAATTAAACTTAAATAGTAATTTAATAACATAATAAAATAATAAAACGCAATTAATTAAATAAATGACAAAAAAATGTTATTTTAAAATGTAATAATATTTCACAATATTGCTGAGTTTTTGATCAAATAAATGCAGCTTTGGTAAGCATAAGACACTTCTTTAAGCCTCTTTAAAAAAATCGTACAGACCCCAAACTTTTAACGGTAGTGTAAAAAAAGTGATACATATAAAAACATGTTACAACTTGCCCGGCCAGACATCTTGTCCTGAGAACAGTCATCTTTTGTTTAAAATTTCCAGTCATTATATTTGACTCTTGTTATGCCAGTGTGGTTTTAGAGTGTTATAGGTGCTGCGATACAGCGCCTGTGTGACAACTAGCCCCGGATTTCTGTCCTCACCTGCTGTGTGTGCGCCCATTGCAGACAGGTCAGTGTAGTAGGGTCTTGTTGTCTTCCTGCTCGTGTCGTCCAGGATGTTGAGAGGGTCGTGTACTTCAGCATAGGCCGAAACGGAGCGAATGCTGCTCACGCTGCTGATAACTGACACATGCTGATCGATAAACGTGCCCATCCTCTGAGTGTCCACATACCCGCTGCTGCTGTAATATCCTGGCCAGGAGAAAGAAGAACAATAATATTTCAATAGGAGCATCTGAAAATAACATCACATTTACCTTTCTCTGCAGCATACTAACATAATTCAAATAAATGATAAATCTTGTCGTCTGAGTCAGTTTTTGGGCTACTTTTTTTGCTGGGAACAGTGAAGAAAAGACAAGAAATTATATATAGAATAGAGAAGAATAGAAATGTGACATGAGCTGGACTCAAAGCTGCATTGTCTGCACCAAAGCTCATTGTGTGCACTAAATACTATGACATGATTCATCAGGCAAATTCATTTCATTTCCTTTTTTTTTTCCTTTTTAATTTATTTAAAATAAATAATTAAAAATAACAAAACTATTTAATTATAATTATTTAAAAAGTAAAACAGCAATACTGCATTTATTACAGTAAAAACAGTAATGTTGTGAAATATTATTACAATTTAAAAGAACTCTTTTCTATTTGAATATATTTTCAAATGTAATTTATTCCTGTGATCCAAAGCTGAATTTTCAGCATCATTACTCCTGTCTTCAGAGTCACATGATCCTTCAGAAATCGTTTGAATATTGCTGATTTACTGGATTTGCTGCTGCAAGAAACATTTCTTATTATTATCAATCTTGTGCTTCTTAATATTTTTGTGGAAACCTTAATACATACAAGATTTTTGATGAATAGTAAATTCAATAGAACAGCATGGGTTGCTAAGGGGTGGAACATTTCTGGAAACTTTCTAAAAGATTCTAAAAAATCCTGGAAAGTTTCTAATATTTCTAGAATGTTTCCGAAATTTACTGGAAATTTTCCACCTTTTTGCAACTCTAATTTGGAATAGAATTTTTTAACATTAATACTTTTTTAACTTTATAAATGTCTTCACTGTCACTTTTGATCAATTTAACGCATCCATCCTGAATTAAAGTATTAATCTTACTGACCCCAAATTTTAAACAGTAGTGTACATTTTTAAACATTTATTTTAATTGCTCAATAATCTTTTAATCTTTTCTCACCATTGTGCCCCGAGCTGCAAACTGGACCTGAACATCCATCTCCACTGGAAGCACTTCCTCCAAAGCTGTACGCTGTGGAGTCCAGCAGCTGTACGCCCTCGGTATCCATCACAGGGTCACCTGAGGCTGCATATCCAGTCGCTGCAACTCTTGAGCTGTAGGGAGACACGGCGCAGCTGCTGCTGAAGCAGTCTTTGGTAAGCTGGTGTCCAGAGAAGGGTGCGTACCGGGCGCTTTCAGCACGACCCTGATAGGCTGATGTTGGAGTGTGAGTCTGAGCTCTGAACACAGGCTGGTAGTAAGAAGAGCTGGGATAGGAGCCGGAACTAGCATTGTGCAGACTCTGGTACATGCTG